AGTATCGCCAAAAAACCTACAGCAACATACCCCAGTATCGTCAGAAGCCTACAGCAACATACCCAGGTATCGTCAGAAACCAACAGCAACATACTCCAGTATCGTAAGACACCAACAGCAACACATCCCAGTATCGTCAGAAACCAACAGCAACATACCCCAGTATCGTCAGAAAACAACAGCAACATACCCCAGTATCGTCAGAAACCTACAGCAACATACCCCAGTATCGTCAGAAACCTACAGCAACATACCCCAATATCGTCAGAAAACAACAGCAACATACCCCAGTATCGTCAGAAAACAACAGCAACATACCCCAGTATCGTCAGAAGCCTACAGCAACATACCCAGGTATCGTCAGAAACCAACAGCAACATACTCCAGTATCGTAAGACACCAACAGCAACATTCCCCAGTATCGTCAGAAACCAACAGCAACATACCCCAGTATCGTCAGAAACCAACAGCAACACATCCCAGTATCGTCAGAAACCAACAGCAACATACCCCAGTATCGTCAGAAAACAACAGCAACATACCCCAGTATCGTCAGAAACCTACAGCAACATACCCCAGTATCGCCAAAAAACCTACAGCAACAGACCCCAGTATCGTCAGAAACCTACAGCAACATACCCCAGTATCGTCAGAAACCAACAGCAACATACCCCAGTATCGCCAAAAAACACAGCAACATACACCAGTATCGTCAGAAGCCTACAGCAACATACCCAGGTATCGTCAGAAAGCAACAGAAACATACCCCAGTATCGTCAGAAACCAACAGCAACATACCCCAGTATCGCCAAAAAACCTACAGCAACATACCCCAGTATCGTCAGAAGCCTACAGAAACATACCCAGGTATCGTCAGAAACCAACAGCAACAAAGCCCAGTATCGTCTGAAACCTACAGCAACATACCCAGTATCGCCAGAAACCAACATCAACATGCCCAGTATCGTCCGAAACCTACAGCAACATACCCTAGTATCGTCAGAAAGAAACAGAAACATACCCCAGTATCGTCAGAACCCTACAGCAACATACACCTGTACTGTCAGAAACCTACAGCAACATACCCCAGTATCGTCAGAAACCAACAGCAACATACCCCAGTATCGCCAAAAAACCTACAGCAACATACCCCAGTATCGTCAGAAGCCTACAGCAACATACCCAGGTATCGTCAGAA